ATCGCTTGCACGCGAGACACCCCTGAAGGTATACTGTAACCTTAAGGAAGTATTTTAATGTCACTAAAGAATATTTTTAGTACCCTGCAAGACAGAGATCACCCTGTCTTTCTGCTCAGACAGCAGCAAGAGAAGGGAATCTCTCGGTACATTACAGTAAGTCTGGCAAAATGGGTTCTTGTATTTTGGGGTAGTTATTGGCAATTTAGGTTAAGTAGGTTCCTAATTAGGTTCTTAATTTGAATAAAGGAGATATGGTTGTTGATTACACGAAAAATAAATAAACCCGGGTTTGGTCCTTGAATTTTTTCACAACTGTGTTATGTATTTTCTTGTAATATAAATTTGCAATCTGAAAGCTTGCTTGGCTAAACAGGTTCTAATATTTTTGGGTATTAAAATGGCGAATTTCTGCCAGCAGGTTCTTAAACCACTAGATTCTTACTCACAGTTTTTTACTGTATTACAAGTGTTTTGACACTGAAGGAAGGCCAGACTGGTGTTAAAAGGGTCCCTTTTCAAGTTTATGCAGATAAATGAAATTCAGCCATCTTCTTTCAGAAAACAGCCAAAGAAAGGTGTCTGAAAAACCTGATTAGCCAATAAAAAACAGTAAGTGGTGACAAATAGTCATGGTTAACCTGACTCGCACTTTGGTTATCCTAAAATGCGTTAATTCAGCAGCAGTTTGCTCTGGATAACAATAATTGTATTTAATTGTTATACCCTTCAATAACTCAGAGTTAACCACTGATGAACATTTGCTGTTATTTGCTGTTTATGATTCATTATTTGGGCTCTCCAGACACTTAGCAGAACTCAGGCAGCCCAAACTCTCGCATTTTGAGGAGCTGGTAGGTAGTCGGTGCTAGTAACACTAGCTACAGGTTGACCGTTGAGAACAATATCATAAGGCTTTGTGTGATATTTGATGCCTATTATTTTTTATTCTTGCAATTCACCTCAATGCAGGAAAAGGCACAAATCAAGCATTAATGAAAATACATAACCTTACCAAGTTTGAAAGTAATTTCATTAAATAGAATAGTCACTAAATTTCACATATTCAAACACTTACTATACTATAACAGACCCATGGCCAGTCCTGTGCATATACACATACAAGATTTAATTTAACTATATACACCTAACAAACTGTAATGTATCGCATGACGTCAAGTGACAGATGTATGTCAAGTTTGCTTATTATGGGTTAATTAAAGTTGAGTTGAGCACACGGCCGTCGTCCACGTTTTCTTTTGTCATCTCTGGACTCATCACCAATACCATTTGGATCAAAATAATGTCCTAATCGCTCTGTGTAGTGTTCCCATGTTTCAGTGTTCTCGTCAAATGCATCTACTCTACCAAACAGTCGCCATTTTTGCTCGTTGTCACCAAATGAAGTGTATTAAGGCCAGAAACGGGAGGAACACCACAACAAACAAAACGTGGATGACGGCCACATGCTCAACTCAATTTTAATTAACCCATAATATGCAAACTCAACATACATCCATCATGTGACGTCATGCAATACATTACACAAACTGGTCTTCAGCTTGGGTATGTTTAAAACATGAAATGGCAAAATGACAAAATATTATTACGGTTAGCCGAAATGGCCCTCTAGTTAGCCTAAAGTGCACTCAGGTAAGCCTGAATATCATTGATTTTCACAGTAGTTAGCTCTCAATAATTGTAAAGGTTAGGGTTAGGACACCTGTATCCCACAAATCCTGTCTGTATCCTTACAGACACCAGTATCTCACATTGACCTTTACGCATAGTACCATTTTGACATTTTGCCATTTTGTTTGTGTTTTCATTAGGACAATTTTGGCTAGATAAAGTCGGAAAAGTCTGGAAATGTAGTGAAAACAGTTCGTCTTGAGTTTAGCAAGTTAAAAATGCACTCTGTTTTCACCAGAAAAAATAAGCAATTATCTCGCCTATATGACTGGAAATTCACACCAAGTTATACTACCTCGCTAGATGGTATAACTTGTCCCAGTAAATGCTGCAGCCAATCACATTAAGTGTAGTGACAGACGCCTACCAAAGAATCTGGTAATAGTATTTACCAGACGCTTGTATCAGGTTCAGTTTGCGAAACAGAACTTTAAGCAGCAGATGAGTTCAACAGTCCTTCTCATTTATTTCAGTTTACCATCCTTAAGGTCCCATTATATTCTCCAGTTCCAGGGCCAGGACCTTACCTATGAAATGGCGTCACCCGACGTGCAAAACAAGTTCCTGCATTACAACATTTCATCGCATCTTCCTCTTTTCTGGAGACATAAACCACGTCCTCTAGAAAAAAATGCCTTCTCGATCTCCTACGCATAAATATAGTTAGAATTAATACAAGAGAAGTCATTAAAGGCGTTTCCTCTTTCATACATTTTTGAAAGTTGCGCGCTTTTGTAATTTGAATCTTCTGAGTCAGCGGGTTAAATTCTGGGTTAAATTTCCAGTGAAAACAGATGTCACATTCAACTAGCAAATGTTGGTCTGTAAACAAACACCTAGAAAGAATGTTCAGCTAGTTTATCGGCCTAGTGAAAACACAACCTTTGTGTTTAAAACATGCCCCTTGGGTTGCTATACAACCAAGAAAGGGACACCCTTTTGCAGACTCCAATAGTTATCTCTGGAGACTAAACATTTTGAGGTTTTCAATTCAAAATTAAGTGAACCGCAGTGAACCATGAGAGACCATTTTTACTATAAACCTGAAACATATGAACATATCTTTTCCATATAATGCAAGCCATATTGTATCTTTTGTGGGAATCAGGAACTTAGACTATTACAGCCTTGTTTGCATGTTCAGATTGCTGTTCAAATTATCCAGTGAAGAATTTGTTCTCAACATTAAGGCACAGAAGTCAAAGCAATCTTGAACAACCAGCTCTTGTTGATGACAAATGCTCTGGAGTCCTCTTTATTTAGGTTTCTTGAACTTCCCTCCTGTAGTAGGCTTGGCTTTCTTGGATTTTGATCCTTTTGTATCCTCGCTCTAGAAAAAAGAAATCAGGCAAATTGCAATACAAGCTATTTCCCTGCACAGTGCTAAAAGAAAAATTAATTTCAGTCTACCCACTAATCTTGATTACATCAGTCAAACCTGGAACATTTCATTTCTACTCCTTACGCATTTAAGAAATAAAAAACATGAACTGTGTTTCTATCAAGTTTTATAGAAACACAAGTGGAAGTTTGGTAGAACGAGAAATGCTGTGGGAACACAAGCCAACAGGCAAATGTTTCCACAGCTTTTTTGAGTTCTCCCAAACTTCCATGAGTGTTTCTATTAAACAATTAGGTTATGAGCTAGAGATTTCTTGAGAGCAAATAATCTAATAGTGTTAGTGTAAATCTACTAGTCGTTCAAAACTTTATCTAAATCCTCTTCCCAGACACTTTGAAAACTCTAAGAAGCGGCCATCATTTTGTTAACAAGGGCACACTGCTATGCTACTCACTAACTATCACAGAATAAAAAGTGAGTAGTGTAGCCAATCAGAGAACGGCATTCATGATAGAACATTAGTAGATTTATACTAAAACTTGATAGAAACATGGAAAACATGTCTTCTATTTCTTTTAGTTAATTCCACGTCAAAAAATAAGAAACCAACTTGTTTAATCTGATCATCAAAATGTAAATTCTCTTTGCTCACACCATCATTGTCAACAGCTTGTGCTAGTTCTGTGTTCCCATCAAGTTATAAAAACATGATTTTAAACCAATCAGCACATGTAGTTTCTTTGGGATACGTTCCAAAAGAAAATAGAGAACTTTTGCAGAGTTTTTTAGCTTAACGTTTAACATGGCACATGGCATGAGCATTTGGAATTTTTTTGTCATTTTTTTCCCATGAAATTCCATGTTGCTTTCCAAAAATTTTTATCAAACCTTCTGGGCTTAGTCAACTCCCAGGGCCAACTTTTAATAAAGATGCCTGTTCACTGCTTTGCAACAAAAGGACAATACAACAAAAATGGTTATTCATGCTGATTTGCCATTTCTGCTGTAGTGGTGTTTCCTACTGAAATTGCTTAGCTTTATTCACCTTTCTTGTTGTTTGTTTTAAATTAAATTTCCTAAACTACACTGACAGTATTCAAACACACAATTAACTTATTTCACAGTATACTAGCAAGTAAGTATTCCACTATGCTACTTAGAACCTCCCAAAAATGTACCAGTTACATTTAAGCATTTACCTTTTACTATTTACATAATAATATTAACTGGGTCATGTGTACTAAAGGCATCTGTGGTCGAATGTCAATCAATACCCTCAATCGATACTCAATCAACACTCCATTGACACCTCAGTTGACACTCCACTAACATTTTGGTCGACAGTCGGTCAAGAGTGGACTAATTTTTGATCGATTCATATGAGTCAGTCCACACTCAGCTGACTATTGACCGACTGTTGATCAAGTATTGATAGACTGTTAACTGAGTATCCATCTGGATGTTGATTGAGGTTTTGATCGCGATGTCAATCGAGAGTATCGATCAGAGTATCGATCGACACTCGACTGGCCATGGATGCCTTTAGTACACATGATACAATCAACTTGCTCACCTTTCTTTTACTTGAAGGACTTGGAGAGGGAAGAACTTTGAAAAAGGAATCAAGCCTTCCTTGAGTGGACCCCTGGCGAGCTTTGCTGAGCTTTTTTATTCCTGAGCGTATCCTGTCTTCACTGAAGATAAAGATGCATTTAAATATTACTCTTGCAAAAAAACCTTTATAGATAGCTACATGTAAAATACTGTGCCTCTCAATAACACATGAGCTCAAAAGATGAAACCTAACAAACCAGTATATTTTTTACTGCTGTGAATCATTATTATGGCAACAAACCACAAGCCTTGAAAACAAGAAACAAGCAAAATGGCTAGAAATGTACCAACCACTACCTATATACAAGCATGACCTTTTGAATCTGCTGAAGCGAAATTCTGTTTCCTGGAGGGGATGGTTGACAGCAGCAAAAAATGTGGTCATTGATTGAGTAGCATTGTGTATTGTTGAAGGTGATCTAAATACCCTGATAAAACTTATCTCCCATGCACACCACAAGTCCTGAACTTCGACACTTGTGAAAATATTTGGAGGAAAATAAAAACTATCAACTTACACTGAAAGATATTAACCTCCTACTAACCAAGTGCAAGGGAAGTACTGTGGAATATTGGCCTTTGGTGGTTTTTGCCACTTCCTTAGGCCAATATTATCCAGTACAGCTTGAGCTAGCTAGGTTACTACGTAGTTTATTATATGGCACTTAGGAGTTGAATTTTTCTGGCTTTCAAAAGTAAAAAACACATTACTCATAACCGTTTCCATGGAAACAGTCCGTAAGGCAAAATCCCAACCAAGAAAGAACCAATCTTATCAGAATGCTTGGATTTGCTTCAAGACTATCTTGCCATATAATAAGTATGAATATTTTACCTTTGGATATTATCTGTTGTTCGAGAGTCAGTTTAACACTGCATTTCATGAAAGAGATCATGTCCTTAGGCAAATATCCATGGATATTTTCTTGCTAAAAGGATGTTGTTTGTGCAATGCTCAGACATTTTAACTCACCTGAATCCTTTTTCTTCAACTAGAAATTTAATAAGTTCCTCTTCACTTGGAGCCTCCCACTTGAGCTAAAATGAGGAAGAGTAAACAAAATGCAAGTTAGAGACTGCAAATGAAGCTACATTGTATGTTTATGTTACAATGTTCTTCTGCTTTAGAAGTACTAATAAAAACAAAAACAATATATTAAAAACATGTTAGCACTGATAACAAGAAATACATATTAAGGAGACTGGGTGATTCCAGAAAATAGCCATATCCAAGCACAGACAGTTTTCATATTTTAACCCCCCCCCCCCCCCCCCCC